CATAATTATACATAGCAAGTTAAATGAAATAAGCTCACCAAGAAAGCTATAATTTGTTATATGCTTACTTCTGTGAAACAATGTGCTATAATTGTATTTTAAAACTCCTAATATGCTAATTGTTTGGGGCTTTTTATTTCATAAGAATCTCATATATGTGAATATGTGTTATATGTTAATCTTCAGTTAGTGAGGTCTAAATTAATCAGAGCTTACATAGCTCAGCCAGACTGTTTCTTACTTGTGACTATCATGAGTATATTTACATAGAAAATGGTTTGGAAAGAGAAAAGAAAAGTTCAGTTCAATACCACTAGCTGTTAAGCATAACAATTGGATATTTACTTACATTTAGATTCTTTTTAAAAAATGTATAAATTTAAAAAATCAGAGAGATGAAAACCTTTTGGCCCAGTGTGGTGGCTTACACTTGTAATCCTACCACTCCGGGAGGCTAAGGTAGGAGGATCCCTTGTGCTCAGGAGTTTGAGACCAACCTGAGCAAGAGTAAGACCCTTGTCTCTACTAAACTTGAGCAATTAGCCAGGCATTGTTGTGGACACCTATAGTCCCAGCTACCGGGCAAACTGAGACAGGAGGATCACTTGAGCCCAGGAGTTTGAGGTTGCTGTGAGCTATGATGCCCCAGCACTCTAGCCTGGGCAACAGAGTGCGACTCTGTCTCAAAAAAATTAAAAACGGGGCCTTGATAAAGTCCACTTAATGGGTACCATTCAGAGGTATGTGGCACTCCTCCTGGGTGAACGACTCAGCTACAACTTGGACTTTACTTTACCTCACAAAGGCAAACAATGTAACCTAATTGCATGTAGCCTATATTGGGTAATCACTCCTATGATTCTCCCCATATGCCTGGTATTTGGAAATAAATACTTTTCTTAATTATAAAAACAAAAACAGAGATGAAAAAATCTTAAGTGATACTTCCATCCAAACACAACCTATGCTGGCAGCTTCATATGTCTTTTCAGTTCTTTTCCTAGATATATTTATTTTCAAGTGATTGCAGCTTGACCACACACAGAATTTTATCCAGGCTTGTAGGACTTCTGTTGCGGCATGTGAGCGGTCTCCATTGCTATCTGATTTTGACAAGCATCGTTTTACTGACTGCATAACGTTTCATTTGGTAGATGTGTCAAGATTTGCTTTCCCTAAATATTCAACAAAAGAAAACGAACTGTTCCTAATTATTTTGTTATTGCAAATAACATCACAATGACTAGTTGTGTGCATAAGTCTCTCTCAGTATTTAACACTCAAGATAAAGTCACTGAAGTGAAATATTTGGATCAAAGCAATATAAACAGTTTTATGGGATTCGGTTCATGTTGTCAAATTGCTTCTCAAAAGTTTCCCTATGCCCTTAGGTGATGATTTCCCCTTTGATTCCAGACAGCACTTACCATGTACTCAATTCAGTGCCAGATATAGAAGAGGAAGAGATTCAGAGAAATGTCAATATTTCAGAAGATCTCCTTTAAGCCTTGTGGCTTCTGAATGTAGTTTTTTCATAGCTGCATAAAGGTGAAGTGGCTTTGATTTCAAAACATTCATTAAATAAAATTGTCTTAGCATAACAAATGATAGTTCAGGAGTTTCAAAGAGTAATTACTTCATCGAGACACCAAAGCTCCTTTCTGTGGGATTCATATTGGGAATACCAATTGCATCTGATATGCACAGCCCGGCTTTAAGCTCCTGCTCTCCAATTCACATAAATAATTTCATTTAATTGCTTGTGACATTCAATGTGTAGGGAAAAAAGAGTAAAGAGAAAATCCACCTTTGGCAAGTTCAAGAATGGAAATGGTGCTTATCTTCGCATGTGCCTTTTGGTTATACTAAATGAAACCTTTTACTAAGTTATAATTAGTTCACCAAGGCAGGATAATTATTTCAGTAGCTGTGAAATATCAGGAAATTTGCATCTGAAGACTCTCCTTCTAGCTAACCTTTGACTACTGGGGTAACTCTTATATAAAAGAAACTACCTAGGAACGTCTCTCTCTTCACTGCAGCTCCGTGTGGCTTCATTGGCCTGTGACCGATGGCTGCCCAGTGGCAGTCACGTTAACTTTCACCTGTGCAGTCTCCAGCGTAATTCAAAATTTCCATGGCAGATTATTTTGCTCAATTATATCTGAGATGCCTCTAAAACCAAAGTTGTGTAAGTTGAAAATACTTTGTGCCCAAATGAGCAAACCATGCAACGTACCTAAAACCATCTAGTAGATTCCATACTTGCTTCAAAAATACCAAGCAAAGGCTGCCTTTCTGCCCCGTGTGCTGGCATCTCTGATCATGCTAACAGACTAATGTTACGTGGGAGCTAATTAGACAGGGCTGGCGTGACCTCCTGCTTTTTTCGCCCTTTCTGTCAATCATGAGATATCAACCATCTTGCACATCAGCTGGATTTGCATGCTAATTATCTCTGGAAATTTGGATCCTGTATATATACCTTTGGAATCACAATTATTTTCCAAGATTTTATGCCATCTTAAAATAATTCTTCAGAGGCAACAAAGTTTGTTTTTCATAACAGTATCCAGGTTTGTATTATAATTCAGCATATGTGTTGTAAAAACCATTAAAAAAAGTCCCGACCTCATCACTACATTACAAAATATCAGACTCAGGGCTGACTGGGATCTCCACCCATACCAGTCCTCCTTGGTTAAGGGTAGCAAAGATACTTCCGCAGTGGTGGGGAGGAGAATTATACTAACCTTTTTGTTGAAAAAGAGAGCCTCTTAACCAAAATGTCGATTTTAACCTCCCAAAGTGGATGGTTTTCACCAACCACTGGGTCTAAGCTCACTGTCTAAGATATTTTCACTCAAGAATAGAATTTTAGCCTCATAGAACAAAAGCACCAAGCAGAGAGACCGTTTAAATAAAGGGAGGGGTGCACCTTTTGTTCTGGATCCAAGGCAACGAATGTGCCCATGCTTATCTTACAAGGGGTTGATGAGATGCCTGGCAGAGCCTGGTAATGAGAATTCACATATGGAAATGTTGCTGTCGGGCACCAAACTACAACACACAGTGCTATAATTATTTACTGAGAGTGTTCTGAACCCCCACACTGCCTCTCTCTTCCAGCCACAGTGAATGTTAGAAGAATATGAAAGGGCCACAGAACAGTGACACTGCTTCGGAGCATATGCTTCTATTCAGCAGATAACTATTTTCCCATTTACACTCAGTCATTCTTGAGGAAACGATGTCTACCCGCATGCCTTTGTAAAGTCATCTTCATTCATTCAAACTTGGTTTTCATCATTCAGGCATTGCAATTCTCTTCACCACAGCCGGCATCTATTTTCATAATTGCCCTCAGGAGAGAAGTTAAGGAAAAATAAAGTAAAAGAATTTTGTGGAGAAAAGTCAGGACTTTGAAATTAGTGAAGTTTCTACCTCAGAAATACTTTAACTCTGTATACAAAATAACAGGTGTCAGGCTAATGTGTCTGTCTTAACCTTCCAGCTGCATTTATAAACAAACAAGCCGCATTTAATTTAGCTGAACTATGAAACAGAGTGACACTGTTATTACTCCATTGTACTCAGATCAGTGCAGGCCTGATCAAAACACTTTGCAGACGGTAATTATGTTAATAAGCATTTAGCTTTTTTTTTTTATGAAAGCTCAATCTAATTTTTGCTCATTTATGGTCCAGAGCATAAGGCAGAGTAATATTTCTAAAGCCTAAGTAATATTCCTAAAATCATTTGAGCTGAGAGGGCCAGGACTAAAGCTGGGATGTGAGCTGTATCCATTTCTACCTTACCTCTACTCAA